CCCGTACGCGCCCCCCCGCGCACAGCCAGCACCCCCTTGCCAAGGGCCAAATCCTGCTCCCCCGCCCCCCCCATCCCTCTTAATCCCAGCTCCTGCAGCCCAAATACGCTGAAACAAGCCCACAGTGACGCACAAAACTGCCTCGCCGGCCGAGCCCTTCACTGCAGGGATGAACTCTCTCTCCCAGCACCGGCGGGGTATAGGATGGAGAGCCCCGGCTGCATCCCTTATTTTGGCGTTCAGCGCTTACACCTCATCCCTGCATCGTTAAGCACACACTGATTTTTGGGGGGTAGTTTTGCTCATGGTCTCCCCTCTTGCCCACCCCCTGCCTAGAAAAAAATCACTTTAGAATCACAGTAGGGTGAGATGCTTTTGGTGACGTTTCCCATGCAATTAAAATTTCCCCGGCAAAGGCAGAAGGTCTTGCAAGAATTACCTCGCTAGGGTCTGCGTAAGGCTGAGTTTTGCTTTTGATAAAGTCGTTGGTTTTATCATTGGATGCAAGACAAAGCTGCCCCCCCAATGACCCAGCAGCCTCAGGGACCAGCAGTGGCACACACTCCACTCCAAATAACGCTTCCCACCGGCACGGCCCCCCCGATGCCCAGTGGGAGGATGGACACGAGCCAATGATGTGCACCACAGAAACCCACAGCACAGCTCCTTACAAACAGGCTGGAGGTGCCCAAAGGGCCAGAAGCAGCCATCAGCCCCCAGGCACGTGGTGGGTCAAGCTGCCATCCTGGGTGGAGGGATGCTCTGACCTCTGCCACCCTACAGACTCATGCCCAGAAGGGTTTGAGCACCTCCCAGTTTTCCTTCGCAGCTCCCATGTTTCACTTCTTTGCTCCAAAAAGCTGTGCCTCCTCCCTGCCTTGACGTGGGGGAAAAGCCCACAGATTATTTAGCACACCCTCTCCACCCAGCAAAGAGGCCACTGGAGTCACAGACACCCCCCAAAATCTGCCCGGTTCAAACATGCCTCCGTGTATCTAATGCTCCTTTCCTGGGAAAGGTTTTTTGGGGCAAAACCTGCCAGAAGCCACCCGCTCTTCAGCAGTCCCTACTCCGGGGGAAGCAGGAGCCTCCTTAAGCAGCATCTTGGTGCCACATTTCAAGCTGGGAACACGCAGGACCAGGTCTGCACCTGCACTACAACCCAGGGGGAAAAGGTCTTCTGCCCCCCCCAGACAAGCGTGACCCTCCGAAATACTGATTTCTACCACATATACAGATTTGGACACCCTGTGAAAGGCTCTTGCTCTGTCCCACTGGTGGTGGGGGTCCCTCCGTGG